AGGAGCCCGCCCATCAACTCAGAGGTTACAACTCACATTTACAGCAAAGTAGCATCCAAGCCTGATGGTTTTGACCCCACAGTGGATGAATTAACTGGAATTAAAAATTAAATGCCCCCCAAGATCCTTGAAATGTGCCCCTCCCCTGTAGGAGGGACAACACTCAGTGAGGAGGGGGGGACAGCAGTGTTTACATTCACTCCCAGGCTCTGACATGCAGCAGGTCTGAGGGAGCCAGGGGATCAAAGCCCTGTTTTCTTTTCAGCTCACCCCCCTCCTCTACCTATCCCCTGGGTTCTCAATGGCTGCCCAGCAGGTCCCTGCCTGAAGTCCCAATAGATGAAGGCCTCGACCGCCAAGTGCAGTTAATCCCACAGAAAGGCCTCCACTGTCAGGCCAGGAGTTCAGAAGGAAAGGGCTTCCTGGCCCTGCTGACTGCCGCGATCGGAGGTTTTAATCAGCGTCCTTCTCCAACTCTGAAAAGGCCGTCAATGGAACCTACCTTGGCCATATTATCCTCCACCAATGAGCAAGAACTGAGCGGCTTTTCTTCGCAGCCCCAGCCATCCCAGACCACAAGTGGAGCTTTCATATGTCCTAATCCGAGTTTCCAAGTCTGTGTGGGCACATAATACCCAACAGCCTGGAGCAAGGGCCCAAGCCTCACACGCTTTTCAGAGACGTGTCATTTCTAACATCAAGCTAATCTATATGTTGCCATGGCTTCCCCCTTTATCTGCCTTTACATCTTATGAACTGCATGGATTTACCACATTATTTTTATCTGAAAGAAGAAAATGGTGGTGTTATTGCCATACAATCAGATTACTGCCACTAGTTTCTCTATGCCTTTTTACCATACTTCAATCAAAAGGGATCAGTTTCTTTATGCTCTGCCCTTGATTCACATTACATCTGTAAAGACCTAGTCTGGGTTGTAATCCCCTTATTAACTATGACCAGGGTTGATTTGCCTAAAAATAAAAGCAAATTGTGTCAGACCCTTTCACTTTGTTTTTGATTCGGAACTACAAAATGGATTACTAAAGAAATCTTCAGAGTTCACACGGCTGGTATAGTGCTGAATTTAAAATGAGAATTAAACAAGTTAAACAGGGGAGCCATGTCAACGGTTTACATTTTCCATCATGGGAGAAGGGCTGAATTGCTTATGTCTTTGTATTCTTTGGCTTTATAGAGACAATGAAGCCACAGGAGTTTTTCCAAGCTGTTCGGAACATGTCCCATTTGCTACCCTTCCTTCTTTGTTGTTCTGATTCTCCCCAGCCCCTTCTCATTCCCCCCTTCAAAGAGAGGGCAGGCCCCTCCCTGAAAGAGCTCATTCCCTCCTAGCAGCTTATACTTCTATGGGTTCTGCATATTTTAATCAAAATATTTTAAACAGTTGAACACTCCTCTTTAAGGCTCTGCCCCGCTACACAAAGGGTGAGCTCATAAGCAAATCTATGAAGATGTATAATAAGTGACCTGAAAAACAGGTTCTTTATGTCCGTGGCAAAGAGAGGCAGAGGTTAGACAGGAGGGCCATTTTAATCATCCTTCCTAGAAGAGGCCTTCTTTGAGTCTCATTTGCGATGAAATCTGCTAAGTTTTCATAAAATGTCAGAGAAGCGTCTTTCCTAAAACACGTTGTGCAGGGGTCTGCAGCTGCCACCGCCTGCTCCCTGCCACTCCCATCCGGTGTCGCGTCACAGTGGTCACACTGAGACCCCAATCACTTCCATCAGGAGAAGGCACTGGCACGAGGCTCAGTTAGGACTCAAACCCAGGGCACAGCCGGGAGCGACCAGAAACGTTTCCGAGGAAGCCAAGGGAGCAAGGCTGGCCTCCTCTGGACAGGTGAGCGGCTTCAGGACAGCTACAGAAATACTCCCCGTGTCCTTCAGCCTAGTGCAGGCAGGCCATTCTGGCCTGCAGTTCTGAGGGTCTCTAATTCACCTGCCCTCAGACTTTGAGTCCCGAACCTTTAGGAAGGTTGGAGTCATCTGCATTTCTTTACATCCCCGGGACAAATGTCAACAGCTCCGCTTTGTGAAAGGTTTAGACCAAGGGCCTCACAAAGCCTCGGAACCCCAGCTCCGGCTCCAGGCTGGCAGCCCTGAAGGCAGAAGTAAGAAGCGCAGTCCTGAGACTCCCGAAGCCTAAGCAAACTCTCCTCTGGGAAGCAGCGGACGACGCTGAGCTATCGCTGAGGCTCTGTCTTTGTGCTCTGCCCGGCTCAGTTCTCGGCGGAACAAGACAGTCCATTGCCTACGGTTTATCATCCTGACAAAACGTGAGGAATGTGGACGCGAGGGCCCTGACAATCCCACCCCGTGCTCAGTGCTTCTTTTCTCTCCATACTAAAACCCACAAGATTAACCCAAACGCACGCTGCGGAGCACAGTTCAAGGGGCTGTTCAATCAGGGCTGAATGTGCATTTGTTTACCTACAAAAATAAGAATTTCAGGCACAATGGAAGGCAGGCTGGCGCGTATATGTTCCTGAATGGGCTGTTTAAACAGCACTATCCATTGTAGTTTATTTTATCAATCTGACAGGCCGGTATTTATTCAGCGCCCGACTGGGGTGAGACCCGTGTATTACAGGTTATCTGGATATTATCCAGCCATTCTTTTGTAGCAAGTCAATCATTATGAAGAATTCGGTATTATGCAGGGGAGGAATTAAATGGGAAAGCGAAATACTTTGTTGAGTAACCGGTGTGGGATGCTTAGGGGGCAGCGACCCTGGACACAAGAAATGAATGCGAGCCTGAAATTCTGTCAGCGAATCTCTGTAGAGTACCAGACCGGTGCAGCTTTGCTCGCCCTAAATGAAATTAATTTAAAAGCACAGCCTGCAATTCTGTTTTGGCAAAAGCAGGCTCGGGTAAAAAAAAAAAAAAAAGTTCTGCTGAAACGTTAATTAGAAATGGAAGCTGGGCTTTGCTGTTTTCCCTGAACTGGAAAAAAAAAAAATTGAGCCGCACAGTGCCGGGCTCCAGAAACGCGAGAAACCTGCCAGGTCGGCAGCGCTTGGGGCCCGGAACTTCTCCGGGGTTGTCACGCAGCCCTCGGGGACGGGGCCCAGACACGGCGGCTGCAGTGGTGGCGGAGACGTGGCATTTACCGAGGGTTCTCCGGCCCTGTGCGGGTCGCCCACCTGCTGAAAGGCCGGCCTCCGAGGAAACCAACCTAATTGCCGAGGGCGGCTGCAGTAGCAACGCACTGCTCCCCACCGGAGGCCCGGGAGGGCAAAGTCGGGGGCATCGACTGCGCCCGCCACGCCGTACGCGGACCGCAGCCTCTCCTGGAAGCGCGTGTGCGGCCGCCCGAGGCAGCAGGCCCGGCTCCGCGCGGGTTACCCTTCCCGCTCTCACCACAGAACCGCGCTGCAGGCACCCACAGGAGCCTCCAGCCTGCGGCCGGCCGGCCGGCGCCCTCCCGGGGCGGAGCGGGTGCAGGACGACTCCGCCTGGGCCCGAGGCGGGCCGCGCGCGGCACCCTGAGGGATTTTTTCGCACGGGCCGGCCGGAGGCCAGGGCGCAGGGGCGCGGTTGAGTCCGGCCCGGCTGGAGAAGGCCTGCTCCGGGGCTGGGGCACCTCCGACACAGACCGCCCAGACACGCGGGAACCAAGGCTCCTGAACGCTGGCGCCCACGCCGAGCCGCGCGCCCGAGGGGCTGCGGGACGTCTCCCAGGCGCCGGACGGGGCCCACGCGAGGTCTGGCCGGCGGGCGGCACTGGGGGCGGGGCGGGCGCATCCCGCGGGTCCCAGCGCCCTCTGTCGGGCGCCGCGCGGCAGGTCCCTCCCGGGCCTCTCGCTCCGGGGTCGCCGCAGAGCTGCCACCGCCGGCCCCGCGAACGCAGCCCTAGGCTGACGAGCAAATGCCACGCGAGATCGGGTCCCGCGGGAGGAGGCTGCAGGACGTCCCTTGGGGATCTGTGCGGGGCCTGAAAGTGCCACTTTGGGGCCGAGGCGCAGGACGTTTGCGCCCTTCGGCGGGGGACCTGGGTTCAGGCGTAGGTAAAGCTGAAATCTGCCCCTTTGCGAGAGCAGACACCGCCGGCCAAGTCGGGCGCGATTTCCAAGCCAGCCTCTCGGCCCTGTGCTCTCCCAATCCCTGCCCCGCTCGCTCAGCCTCAGCTACGCCACTGATTTTGTCTCGGGTCTCAGAACAGTGCTGCAGAAACGCCCGAAATCCGCTCCTGAGGAGCGCCTGGGAACTAGGGGCTGCGCGATGGCCCCAGCGCGGTCCGCCGATCTCCTACATTCTGCCCGTGCACCGCGCCCGCACGGACTTACCCTCCCCAGGCCCGGGCCTCTCTCTGCTCCGCCGTTCGCTACGATCGAGTCTGACCCCGGACCCCGTTCCTACCCAGGGCCCCAGGGCCGAAGGCTGCGCGCCAGCGTCGGCTCGGCAGAGCCCTGGGCTTTTGCGGAAGGCGTCCTCAAAACGGGGGCCGCGCAGAGCTCGAGGCCGCTGGATCGTGCTCGCAGGGAGAGGCCGCCGCGCCGAAAGGCCTCGGCTAGGACCCCACAGCCGCCCCGAGGGCTCGTACCCAGTTCTCCCGCAGCTGGGCGACTCCACGCGCAGCCTCCCGCGGCCCCGATCCGGCCCCGCTCCCCTCCGGTGGGTGCGCCCCCTCCCCTCCCGGGACCCCAAGCCGCGGCGCCCGCCCTCCAGCTCGCGCCCCTCGAGCGCAGCGTCTCCGGGTCTCCGGGTCTTGGGGCCACGGGCGCCCACCCAGTGCGTGTCCGCGTGCCGCGTCCAGGGAAAGCAGCGAGGTTCGGGCCGGGCCGCCGCCGGGGGCGTCGCGCACCGTGGAGCGCCTGGGGAGGGGGCGCGGAGGTCGACCGCTCCGGTCAGTGGCGGGCGGGAACCGTGGGGGTCGGGTCCCAGCTGCGCTCCGTCCCGCCCCGCGCCCCGCGGGCCGAGCCGTGCTCCCGCCCGGACCTGGGGCAGGGATCGAGGGCGCTCGCGAACGCCACTTACTTGGAGTTGGAGGAATTCCAATAGATAGGCTCTAAAACTAGGGACCTGGAGGTCGCAGTTCGGCACAAAACCATCAGCACGCCCCAGCAGTACTTCCACACCGAGTCCCTGCGCGCGCCCATGGCGAGGCCGCTCCGGCGCCGCGCGCTCCGGGCGCAGGGGACGGGACGGGCCGGGGCGCCGAGGCTCCTCCGGCGGGCGCGGGGCGGCTGGGCTCCGGGGC